TAAAACGTTTTCAAAATATGTTTGGCACTTTGGAGAAAATACGAAATATTTTATTTTATATTATAATTATAACGAAATATAAAGTTATTAGGGAGGAAAACCCGTCTGGATAACAGCAGACTGACTGCTCGTAAAATATACGGCATGTCTGGACCACACGTAAATTTTGTTCGTATCTGAAAAAAATCTTAGAATACGAAAACATTGGTGAACGCCACAAATTCTCCTAAATCACTCGTATGCACAACTTAAGAACAAATCTGTGCGTACGAACGGTTCTTGCATGAGGCCCATTGTTTCTTTCTCATCACAAATGTTTATTTACTCTGAACTCACGTCTCTCTGGAGGTCACGCAAGATTTTTCCACTAACATTTGAATTCTTGCGAGATTTCAAGAAGTCTCGCGTAATTTCACAACTAACATCTGAATGTTCATGAAAGAAATATATTTTTGTGTGTGGTGTGTTGTCTCTTGCCGTGTGGCTGTACACCACACACACTGTAGGATCAAACCTTGTATATTCATGATTTTCATCCTCTATCAGGATAATGACTCTATCAGTCTGAAAATTGGCCGACTGTTTTAAAATCTTGCAGTGTGACGCAGCCTTTAGGAGATGTCTGACCCGACTGCAGTTCAGGAGGCGTTTACACAGGGATCTTGAATCAGTCACCAGCTGAGGGAATCGGGCCATCTCTGTGTTTACTGAATGATACACAAGGAAAACCATAACATTAGCTCGAGAAAACGCTTTTCGACATATCATGTTGTTATGAGAAAACCATGGAAAATAATTATACACAGAAAATGGCTTCTCCCAGCTTCCGTAAAATGCTTTTATTTGAAAATCATAAATTCCTCCCCTTTGTCGTCTCTGTTATTAGTATACCATTCACCAACATCGCTAAATCATTGAGTGAAATGTAAAGTATTTTTGGGTGGACACAAGTGTGGACCTTGGATGTTGCGCTGTCATTGATGAAGACTGCTGGTGGTATGGAAGTTCAYGAATTCTGTGAATGAGGTCAGGAAACCCATTCAGGATGTGGACTTCGGTAATCTGTCACTGTCGCTGGATGGTGCTGAAGGCTGAGCTGAGATTAATGAAAGGTAAGCAGGGACTGTCTAATGTTGGATTGTAGCATGTCTTCTGCCATGGCGTGAAGGACAGTTCACTGTATTTTTGTACCTAGAAAGCAATTGGAAAAACCATGTGAACTCTGACCCCACATTCACAAAGGAGTTTATCACATAGATAGCTACAATCGCTGCATGTGTTGATTTTATTTAGTTGCATATACATGCATGTTTTTGTCATGTATATCATCTTGAATGGGTGTTCTTAAATGTAAATTCATTGTGCTCCATACACTGACAATAAAGGCATCATCATCATATACCAGTGATTTAGAAAAAGTAAACTTTCTTTGGCTGTCTGCTTTTGTTTTGCTTTTTACCTCCGCCAAGGGAAAAGGGGTAATGTTTTCGGTCACATACGTATGTCTGTCTGTCTGTCATTCTGTCTGTGGACAAAATTACGCAAAAACTTGTGGACAGATTGTCATGACATTTTTACAACATGTGGGCATTGGCACAAGGAACACACCATTAAATTTTGGTGATGTTCTGGATCACAATGTGGATACAGGAATTTTTCTTTTAATTCAACCGAATCAGACAGTCTGTGCAAAGTGACATTACATTAGATGCATGCCTGTAACAGGAAGTAGAAGTCGCAAAGTCGCTGGGACTACACCTCCCAGGAAACCTACCATCAGGAAAGTTGTTATTATTCTGTTATCAACTAGTATTGGTGATGTTACATGCTGTCTGGAGATATAGAATAAGAAAAGAGATCCTCTTCACTTTACAGGAATAACTGAGGAGATGCTGACAGCRGGGGAGGGTCCAGCTGTAGCCGAGCCAAAGCTGGTACCGAACATTTTGAAAAAAAAAAACAGGTTCCTGTTTGTCCTGTAGGCTACCAGAATGTATTTCTTCAGTTTTACAATAAACAGTTTAAAATTACTAATATAGCTGCTTGTTTTCTTACCAAAGCCCTGCCATAAACATAAAAAATGACCAAGAAGCAGCAGAACTAGCAATCCAAAACTATTGTTTTAACACCATGACTCAAAAGTCTGTTTCAACAAACAGACTTAATTTCATTTTTATTTAATTTTATTTTATTTTTATTTGTGATGGCAATATTGCCAAAGAAAGTTGTAGTTTGTGTAAACATTTTCACCATAGACTACTTTGGAAACTTCTATCAGCAGGACTTACCCAAGGACTTTCCACTGAAAGAAAACTTTTGTCCCTATTGTTCCTCACAAATCAGCAAATGATGGCCGTAAGTGATGTGTTGTGAGTTTGCTTCGGTATGAACATGATTTGTCATTTAGCAGAAACTAATGTTGACCGTGCTTCAGGATCAACTACCGAGAAGACGAGCCACTACACCTTTACCCCTCCACCTGAGGAAACAGCACTGACAATCTGTGATGCTCGCATTCTCCCTCCCACCCCTCCGGCCTGGGGAAGCGTGTTTGCCTCTCGGGGCACCAGTCTGTCGCTCTCCCCTAGGGTGGCCATGCAGCGCGGGGTGCTTCATCGTCAACTGATCGGGCTGCATGTAAGGAAAGTCACTGGAGCTCTTACCGAAGTCAGGTGCCTTGGTGCTGGGGAGGCCAGCAAGCATCACAACCTTCAGGCTTCCATGTCACCAGCATTGTGGTGCGGGAGTCTCCAGACTGCGAATTGCGGAGCTTGACCGCCCCTCAGTTCTTCTTCGTCAGCTCCAGAAATCGACAGAGGACACGCTTTTGCCTCCCCAGCACAAAAGCGCCTGACTTCAGTAAGACGCTCCAGTCTGAAGTTTTAACATGAACGCCATGTTGGAGGGCGGAGTTAACATAAATAAAAGTTTGGGATGGGGTTGCCAATAGCAATTCATGCAAACAGCACGTTCTGAAGAGAGCCAAAGAACCTGCAGAACTGAAAAAGTGTGTGTGTGTGTGTGTGGGGGGGGGGGGGGTACTTACTAGACAGGTGACAAGTCCATCTCAGGGCCAGATAGAGACAAACAACTTTTATGGGAGGAAACAGAAAGGTCCCGGGCAGGGATTTGATCGGGCAAACTTCAGACTGAGAGGCAGCAGCTCTACCGCATAAACCACCATGCTACATAAACCAATCCTGCTGCCAACCAAAGAATCACACTTTGAAATGTGATTGATCTGTGTCCATCTTCAAGCTAGCATTAGCCAAACCTAAATTACCAATCAAGTGGGCCACATCATGTAATGATGTGATCTTAAGAGGTTAGCATTGTCGAACCATAAAGAGGTGGTATATAACTTGATAATAATGATGTGGACCACCAGGCATGTCTGTCAGATCAGACATTAGGCTAGTGGTCTACTCTGGCATAGGAACAACCAGTTTTGTTCGCCATTGTTAAACCTGTTTGTCCATGTGGTAGTACTGCTTACAAGGCTGAGTTTGGTTGTAATTCCTCAGACTGAAGTTGGATGATATTCTATTTTAAATCACACAGGCAGCTGCTTGCACAAGTAAAGCCTGAAACATACTCGCTCCGATGCTGACTGGTCAACGCACGGTCACGTGGTTGTTCGACAGTCGTTTTCGCACAGACCTTTCATGGTCCCTGCGCCGAGCTAAGGAAACCCCACCTTCCACTGAAACATACTACGTCACTGCATTGAGTTCCCCCGCAACAGCCGATAATGCAGAAAAAAAGTCAGACTCGTCACTCACCCGACTTATTTATCCACGTCTGTCCTGGTTAAAGCTCCACAGTTTTTATCAGTCAGATTCCDCCGTGCACAACATCTGTTTAATCTCCATTCATGAGTTTTTCATGGTATGACTATCTTTATAAAAACTCTACTTCCTGGTGTCAGCTCTGGGAGCGAGTCGGGGTTTTTTTCACCCCTTTTTTTACCGAGTGCAGCAGCGCTTTCAGCACAAACAAGCAAGCCATTAGTTTTTCACGGTTTGACTAGCTTATAAAACTCTGCTTTTGTAGTCTGGGAGCGAGTCGTTCTCTTTTCTTCACCCCCCGAGCGCAGCATAAACAAATACGCCCACGAACTTCAGACCAATCACACATTACCATCAACATGGGAGGGGGGTGGTCAAAAGTTCTGCCGGCGGGTTGTGCTAAAAGGGGCTGTCGACACAACGCTGAGAAGCCCTGTGACGTAATTTTCATCATTAAACTGCGACAATCTGTGCCGTCGTTGGCAGTTCGCAGGGAGTATGTTTTCAGCTTAAGCTGTCATCACTAACACTCTCAAGCCATAATGCTGGTCGTTTATCGATTGTTTGGGCTCTATGACTACCTCCTTTGGCAGCTCAGAGACATGACAATGGCAGGTTGACTTTAACTCCACTSTACCACCTCAGTCCTTCCTTAAATCACACTGATATGAGAATAACACAGCTTAAAAGTGTTTTGTTGATGGTCTTGAACCTATTCACATGTTGAGGTTGGTAAGCTACCCAACAGATAACAATGATCAACACAAAGGTAAATAAGTAGACTCCAATTACCCTTTTTAGTGTGATTGTCCCATCACTTATTTTTGTCATTTCATAAATCAGGTTAATCATTAGATCAAATGGAAAAAAGTAAACTATAGAAAAAAAAACACGTTTTATTGATAGAAAACATGTCAGAGAACAAAATAAAAGCCTGCCAAGGTATTCTCCTGCCAATCACAACAGCACAGAAGAGGAGGGAAATTGGATAAGTATGAAAGTGGAGACATGACTCAAATATTGCGATAAAGACAGACGTGTGTGGTAAAGTATCCAGGTCACGTCCTATCTGAGACCATCTTGGTATAGCTGATTCAGCTTTGCTGTGTGTGTGTGTCCATGTGGCAGCATATGTTACCCCCCACTTATTCCTCATCACCGTGTCCCCTCCTTTTCGYTTGGGCTCCCTCCCCACCTCCACCTCTGCAGTAGATCTCTCTTGCTCAGTTTTTTTTTATTTTATGTGCCGGCTGTGAAGACACGCACTTTATGCATTTCTGCCTGGCTGCTGGCTCTGCTCCAGCATCACTCAATGCTTCTTGTGTTCCCCTCCTCCCCTCCCTGCAGCTGTCTCCCCCTGTGAGGTTTGTCGGCCAGCTTCCCTGGCTGTTGCTGCTGCTGCCGCTGAAGCAGTGGAGCTCCTTGACGCTGCACCACTACGCTGCCGGTACCGCGCTGCCTCGCTTCTCCTTTTCGGTCTTTGCCTTTGCACTCTGCTTTAGTGACTAATCTGTCTTTTCAAGCAGCAGCAGAGGACAAGACAGGAGCCCAGGCAATAGAAGGAGTCTCCTCATTCAACCACTGCGTTGTCCTGTTTGTTTGTTCTTTTTCTTTTCTTTTTTCTTTTTTGCTGAAGAACAGAGCAGAGAACAATCGGACAGCGAGGACCTTTTTCTCTTTTGCACTTCTTGCCTCTGCTCATTCTTGGGACAGAGTGCAGGGGAGGAGAGAAGAGGGAGGGACGAGAACAGGACTTCAGACCCTGCCTACAGCTGCACCGCTCAGTGTCCAACCTTGTTCCAGAAGCACATAAGTCAAACACACAAGCTGTCACTGGCAGACTGGAAAAACAGTTTGACAAGTAGGCACACTGTGTGCATACAGAGGGACAGACAGAACCACAGACAGACAGGTAGACAGTGGGTGTCTGTGTCATGGCGTCAGGGGATAATGACGGTTCGAGTGTCTCCGGGCGGCTGAGATCAAGAGATCTGCTCCATGCTGGTCTGGCAGTTGCGCTGCTGCTTGGTGAGTTAGACTTCTCATTTCCTTCCAGGTGACATGTCATTCCTATGATGCACCAGAACATTGTGTCTCTTTTCATACGTGAATCATGTCAACTCACTGACTACTGTAATCTCTTTAATGTTCATGAAAATAACTTATTTTTCCTCATCATTTTTGTCGGCTTTAATTGTAATTGATTTTTTTTTTTTCATATCAGAGTGATTTAAAGGTTTGATGTAATAAATGTTTAGCTTTCTTGAGAGAAAGTCCCATCGCTTTAGCTACAGCAATCACTGAAGCATCCTGTCCTCACCTACTGACTGAAGTGTATTGTCACAAGTGATGTTTTTTTTTTTTTTTTTTTCACTTTGGAGGACATCTGGGTCAAAAACAATTTATGAATGATTTAATTTTAGATAATACTCAAATGGATTCCAACTGATTAGATAGTTGGCTAATGAAATTATATATATACTGTATATATATG